GGCTTATTTTGCGTGATTCCCAGAAATTATAATTGCCAGCGGAGTCTTCTCCCCCTTGTTATTCAGTGCACAGTTTTTAAGGTCTGGGATTTCGCGTTGTGGCGGCGGGGGCAGGGGGCTTTAAACTGTGCCGTCTGCGGAAGGTCTGTAAGTGCAGTGCAGTGGTCAGCTGCTGTCTAGCCACGGTCGTGTTTGCTGGCGGGCGCTGTAGAGCTTGAGAACCTGTGCTGGCACTTCATCTCCTCTGAGGACTCCTGCTGCTCAAAAGTATTCCAACAAAACTGACTTCTACTGCACACATTTTGAGGAACAAGTCTCGGGTCTCCTGCTTGTCCTAGGAGGGGGAAGGAATGAGCTCTCATACTTCATGTAAATTGATGTGCTGCCCATCAGGTGACTAAGTTATCTCTCTGGTCATCAATTCTTGTCAGACTCAAAGAAAATAAAGGGCATGAGACATTCTATGTGTCTAGATGCAGTCATTTATGCAAAAACACACACTCATACCCAAAAGATCTCACTTCCAGAATCCTATTCATATACCAAAGTGGAGCCAGTGAGTTGGTTTAGTGGGTAAAAGCACCTACCACCAAGCCTGACAATCTGAGTTCAGTCTTCAGGCCCCACTCTTGTAAGTTGTCCTCAGACCACCACTCACTCACCATGGCTTGCATACGCTTACCTACTCAAAAGGTAAATATAGGTAAAAAGTGTCTCATTCACTGAGCAGATTACTTTTGAGCACCTTCCCAAAGCAAGACAGGGTGGCAAGTGGATGGTAAGCTACTGTCTGATTCTCAACTTCTTGTTCCCGTAGCTATCCCCACTGTGTATTGGGGATAGATGGGCATATGTGCAATCCTAGACTTCATAGTCTAAGTGACAGGATATTGTTCCATAAAAACTCTGTATTCTGTATCAGTTTGTCACTTCCTTTATGGCTACAAAATACTGTGTTTGGATTATCATTAGCTTCCTGATTGGCATTTAAGTAGTTCCTGGGGTTTGGTGTTTCTTCTTCCTTTCAATTTTGGGGTTCTGTACTCTTGCCTCACTTTTTTTTAAATTTATTTATTAAAGATTTCTGTCTCTTCCCCACCACCGCCTCCCCTTTCCCTTCCCCTCCCCCAATCAAGTCCCCCTCCCTCGTCAGCCCAAAAAGCAATCGAAACTGCCTAGGCTCCCACGAAACCAATAGGTCCAGTAGAATCAAAAACCCGTTGCCATTGTTCTTGAGGTCTCAGTAGTCCTCCTGGTCTGCTATGTTCAGCGAGACCAGTTTTGACCCAGGCTTTTTCAGACCTAGGCCAGCTGTCTTGCCTCACTTTTACAGTAATGCACTGGTTTCACTTCCTATCTTTAGTGATTCTGGGCAATGAAACACCATAGTACACTTACAGGAAGCTTCATCTTTGTATGCACTTCCTGATAGATGCATGCCAGCATACCCAACTTCAGTATTATTGGTAAAGCTTGTTCTTCACCCCATAGATGTGATAGCTGTGATTAATGACCATGAGTCAGCTGATACACTTTCCATCCCCAGCATTGGGCTCCACAACTACCACTTGCTTATCCCCTAGGTCTATCATTGCAGGCTGCCCACACTACTGCTCACTCTGATGGTCAGAGACTCCCTTTCTGGGGCAGAGCTGGGGACCTCCAGGTATGGCCTTTGTTTTCATCCACAGTTGGCCTCTAGTTAGTTGCTCTTCTGACTGTCATGACAAAATACCTGGCAAAAGCAACTTGAAGGCAGGGCGAGGAGGGAGGACAGTTTATGTTGCCTTGAGGCTTGAGGGGATAACATGTCAGGGAAAGAATAGTGGTGGGTGTATAAGATGACTTGCAGTGGGACAGTCTTGTACCCTGTAAAGACTTGTCAGTTGTATTGCTTTAATAAAGTGCTGATTGGCCAGTAGCCAGGCAGGAAGTATGGGTGGGGTGACCAGGCAGGAAGTATAGGCAGAGCAACCAGAACAGGAGAATTCTGGGAGAGGAAAGACTCAGTCTGCAGTTGTCACCCAGATGCAGAGGAAGCAAGATGAGAATGCCTCATTGATAAAGGTACAAAGCTACATGACTAACACAGAATTTTGGGTTAATGTAGAATGTAAGAGTTAAATAAGAAGCCTGAGCTAATAGGCCAACCAGTTTATGATTAATATAGACCTCTGTGTGTTTATTTGGGACTGAATGGCTACAGGACCGGGTGGGATAGAAACATCTGTCAACAATGGCTGAGGTCATATTGCATCCACAGTCGGGAAGCAGAGCAAGATGGATGCTGATGCCCAGCCTGCTTACTCATTCATCCTTTGCATTTAAGCCAGCACCCCAGCCCACTCGGTGTGGCTCTACCCCCTTTTGGAACCTCTTCAGAAAGCTTTCAAGACAAACTCAGAGGCCTGCTCCTAGACAACTGTAAAGTCATCACAGCCTACTTTTTCTCTGAAATCACTACTTTTCCCATGTAATTTTGTCTCTACCATGTTGGGGAGAGACATGGAAAGCAGTGGAGCAAGTTAAGTGTGTCATTGTTTATTCCCACCTGGTATAGTGGCATAAGGTATCAAGTTTCATTCCTGAAAACCCAACCTTTCAGAAGCTTGCGTTCTAATACCTAGTCATAAAAAGTAATAATCCTCTTCCCAGCATCCGTCTCTAGACGCCTTCAGGAAACCTTAGCTCTCACTGTTGATTGCTTTTCTTAGGGTTGACATCTTTGTGTCCTGCCTTTAGAGTCAGCTCTCGTGTGTCTGCATCTCTTCTTGTCCCTCTCTTCCTCTCATACTCATTCCTTTTTTGCTGCTCTGACTACTTTTGGTTTAACTCCAAGAGCTTGTACTGTTCTCATTATCATTTCCTCTGGTGTCTAGTCAACTATCCCCACCTCTCCTCCTGGTTTGAAGGATGTGAAATGCTTTCTAACATCTTCTTCCACAGCCCAGCCGTTGTGGGAAATGCTTTTATCACTCTAATGCAGCTACTGAGCTACTGTGTGCAGTGTCCTCCTTACTCTAATGCAAGTAACATGTAAGTGTTTCTTAGCATGCTTCCCCTCCCCCCCCCCCCCGCCCCCTAGACAGGGTTTCACTATGTAGCCCTGGCTGTCCTGGAACCTCGCTCTGTAGACCAGGCTGGCCTCGAGCTCAGAGATTTGCCTGCTTCTATTTCCCAAGTGCTGGGATTAAAGGTGTGTGTGACCACACCTGACATCCATTTTCTTAGCCAAATATTAAAGAACTTTCTAAAGTAAGTTGTCATATTTCTTCAAATTATTCCTGTTGTCTTGCTTATTACCATAGTGTTAACAGGCAACTTTCTGGTCCAACTGCTGGGTCACTAACTGTGGGCAGTCAATAAGGGCTGATTTTAAAGCTTTTACTCTGTATTTCAATGGATTTTTTTAGCTCCCCACATTCCTGTCCCTGGTATCCCGTAAACAAATGTTTCTAAAATCCTTTATATAAAGCTCCAAAATTGAGTACCTAAGTCATTCAGAGGCAGACCCTTGAACTGAAATAAAACCATTCAGAACTTCCATTTGCCTTTTGTGTTGCAAGTGCTGATGTATTTTGCTGCAACCATGGCCGTAGGTTTAATTATGGATGGCCTGCAGATTCTGCTAGGTCTTGTGTACCATTTGGTCTTTGTGTTCTGTCTTACTACTTTTCTAAAATATGAAAGTGTAAACTCCAACCGTCTTGTGACCCCACATCTTTCAGAAAGGGGATTATGGGTTTGCAATGCCCAGTTCCTAGACTAGGGTATACGGCTAGTACATGTGAGCCTACATCAAGTTTGATTAATATGAGGCACTTAAAAATAAGAAACTTCTCCACAGCCAGGACTTGTGACCTTGAGGCCTTGGGGAATAAAATGGATGATTCGGTCCTTAGAATGGGGAGCCAAAATGTTTCCTTAATTATTCTCTTATGGTTGTAGTAATTGCTCTGTGGTCAAGCCAATAAATCTGGGGTGAATAGAATGTTATTCCATCAGTTAAAAGTGTCCCTATTAGTATCCTAGAAGGTACTTTCTGTGTGATTCATGTGTTTTCTCTTCAGCTCTGTACCCTTATCATCCTGTGTCTCTTGGTTATGATTAACATTTTTTAAAGTGTCATATCAGTTTTTTTAATGCTGATGATTTAATTGCAAAAGCATACGTAAACAGTTTCAAAGGTGTGAGAAGAAATTTCACAAGCCACACAGGGAACAGCATCAAAGCCATCTTCAGTCTGGAATTCATCACTTTGCAAAGCAAACTGCACTGCTAACACCAAATGGTACAGCCTAAACCAGAGTGATGCCAGTTGATGCAAGACAGCATTTGTTTCAGACCAGAGATGCAGTGGGTGATAAGAGATGAACTTAGTGTGTTTCACCTTCATAAAGCTTAGGCATCTGGGAGAGCAAGCCACATATAGGAAACAGAAATCACAGTAGAATGTTCCAGAGAAGGAAAGTGGGATTGCTCTGACTTGTGAAGATGAGTCAGAATTGGGTAAGATAGAGACTGGATGAAGAACTTAGAGAGCACAGGGACCAGAATAACAGAATCTCAGCTCTCTGGAAGTTTTTTTTTTTTTAATGGTTGCCATTCTAATAGAAGAATTATGTTGCAACAGTGGAGGAGAATTACAGTCCTTGAGAAAGCAGGGCAGGTTACCTTCAAACCTTGTCTTGAAGGACATAGGCATATTGAAGGACATAGAAGATGGGAACAGGCTAAGGAATCTGTTCTGAACAGAAAAATTAGATTTTTTAAATTACATGTAATGTAGAGTGCAGGTGCTTACACAGGTCAGAAGAGGACATTGGATCCCCTGCAGCTGCAGTGTGAGCCACCCAACATGGGTGCAGGGAAATGAATTGGGTCCTTTGCAAAAACATCATATCCTCTTAACTGCTGAGCCAGGTCTCTAGCCCAGATTAGATATGAAGTTTCAGTACTAGGACAGTTACACCATAATAATCTGTGTATTTTCATTGCAGATGAATCAAACATTCCTTCTGGAACAGCACAGAGTGGGAAAAGTTTACAGAATAAGAGTCAGTTTAGGACCATCGCACCAAAAATTGTGCCTAAATTCTTAACATCCAGAGTGATACCCTGTCCTTCCTCACTTTCTGACCAAGGGAGTCTGGCTCTAACCTCCAAGCCCCTGGGCATACCCACCCAGAACTATGCTCTGATGCAGGTGGCTGGCCAGGAGGGGACGTTTTCTCTTTTTGCTTTGCCAAATGTTGCCTCAGCTCAGCCAGTTCAGAAGCCCAGATTGTCCCTGCATGAAAACCTTAAACTGCCTATTCCTCGATACCAACCACTAAGTAACAAAGGGTTAAGAAAGAAAGAGGACCTGAACTCTCCCAAGAGTGGCTGGAATGAACCTTCTGGACGACCGCAGACATGCCAAATGTCCCCTTCCCCACAAGCCCGTCCTGAACTGCCTCACAAGACCAGCCCATTGAAGCCAATGCCCACTTTCAACCCTTACCCCACCATCAAGACAGCTACACTGACCAGTAGTATTGGCTCAGGAGATTTGAATTCTCTAGTGACCAACAGTTGTGGAGACGTGAAGCTTCCTGCCATCCCAGCGTGCTCTACAGAGGATTCCTCTTTTCCACAGAAGCTCTCAGCAATCCTGCAGAAGGCAGACTGTGCCAGGAAGGAGGCGCCCACTAATCCTGCTATTGCTGGTGAAGAGCTTAAAGAACAGGTGGCTCCTGCATGCACTGTCCTCAGCAGTGTGATTCAGTTGGTCTCTTTAGTACCGAAGGGGAAACTGCCCATCCTACCCTTCTCAAGAATGAAAGCCACAGAGGTGGGCAAAGTGGAATCAGATGCTGATTATGCCAAATTATCTTCATCTGGATGCAGGGCACACTGTGATGAGAGATTGTCCATCACAGAAAGGTTTGATGCGGCCACCACATTACCCAGCAAGATGACCGCTCTGCATCGGCCAAACCAGAGTGCTTATGAAAGTGCCTTCTGTCCTGTCACCAAATTAGATCTCAGCCACAAAGTAAAACCCAGTATTGGGGCACCAAAGAGAAGAGGGAGAAAATGGAAAGTGCCAGATGAGATTTTAGCATTGCAGGGCAAAAGGAGGAAATACATTATTGGTCTGTGTGGAGATGGTGCAGAAAGGGGGAGAAGCAGTCCCCAAGAGCCCAGAGACCAGAAGCCCAAGGCTGCTTCAAGAAAATATCGTAGTATCATGCCTAAGCCTGTGATCGTCATGTCTGCTTGGGCACCCCTGGTGTCTCCTGCAGCTGCCCTGCAGTCCCCAGCTCCCAGCAACCTCAGTCAGGGTGTTCTACTGAACAATGCACTGCCTCCAAGATGTCTTGGCTCCAAGCAAAGTGACAGCCCTACCCCTAAGCCCAGTTCTGTGCTCAGAAACGGATTCTCTGGCATTAAGAAGCCCTGGCACATGTGTCCCGTCTGTAACCACCACTTCCAGTTCAAACACCACCTTCTAGACCACATGAATACACACACCAACAGACGGCCTTACAGTTGTGGGATCTGTCGTAAAGCCTACGTCCGTCCCGGCAGCCTGAGCGCACATATGAAACTTCACCATGGGGAAAATCGCCCTAAGAAACTAGTGTGCTGTGAGTTTTGTGCAAAAGTGTTTGGTCATGTCCGAGTCTATTTCGGCCATCTGAAGGAGGTACACAGGGTTGTGATCAGCACAGAGCCCTCCTCCAGTGAACTGCAGGCAGGAGACACACCAAGGAGCAAGGACAGAGATGCCTGCGTGCAAACACCCGACAGCCCACTGGAGAGGTGAGTGCTCAAGGAAGGGAAGCCTGGCAAGAAAATCTGTTGTGGTTTGAGAAGAGTAAGATTTCAAAACATAGTCAGGAGTGGCGGTGTACATACAATCCTAGCAATTGGCAGGTAAAGACAGTGAAATCAGGAATTCAAGGTCAGCCTGGACTGTGTGAGACCCTGTCCCAAAGTAACAACAACAGAAGATGTCATCCTTAGGTAAAAGAAGTCACCTTGTCCCACCCCCTCAGTTCTTTGAAGAATGACCCCATTCCTTGTTGGTTTCTGCTCAGTCACGGTAGCTAATTACTCACACTTGTGTAAGTCAAGGTATGAATGCAAGTTTGAGTATTCTGGGAAAAGTTGGGTGGCAGGTTACTTTCGCATCTGAAAATTAAAATAGGAGACTACCATATAGAGTTTTTAGTAGTCTTCATAAAGTAGTTTCCCCAAAATTACTGTTCACAGAATTCTTATCTAAACAGTTTTATCTACACCACAACATCATGTGAGGCCACACCCTTCACCAGACTCCAAGGTACTCCACAGAGCCGTGCCCTTTGTTATCTGTCAGGCCAGATTGTTTTTCCTCTGTCTGCTCCTTGACATTATTAAAACAACAACAGCAGGCTCCATAATCTGGATGCTGACAAGGCAAGCCCTTGAGCAGTGGTGGCCAGGGAAGTGCCCACAGTGTGGTTCATGCCCACAGCCAACATGTCTGAGGACTGAGAAGGAAGCCCTGCCCCAGTACCTTAGTTCTCTGCTCCTTGTTTTTTATTGTCCCAAGTTGCTCTACATATTTTGCATTTATTATCATAGTGGGTAAGAACAAGATGCCTGCCCTAGCTTTTTCTTGTCTTTCGCCTTTCCTGTCTCCAGGAGTTCATTGCATCTCCCACTAACATGCTTTCCGCTAATGGCCCTAGAGCCTCCCTTCAACTTGCTTTTATATATGCTCAGATCACCTTGAAATAAGATGTCAAAACTGCCAAAGTGTGGGGATGGCATGGGTGATGTGGAACAGTCATCTCCAGCAGTGCCACAGGGTATCCTGGCAGCTCCTATCATATTACCATAATCTTCATGTTGACTACACCTATGGTAACCAGGGAGGTGGTTCACTAGGGGGAGATACAGGATTCTTGGTCCCTGATGGCCTCAAAGATGTCAGGCCCTAGGGGTGGCCGCATGCTGTGGCCTCTGCTGAGACTTTGCAGAGCTCACCATAGCAGGGTGCTTACAGCAAGAGATCCAGTTGCACTTTCCTGGGAAGTCTTATCTAGACTATTTTCCCCCTTTTCCAGGGAAACCAAGTCAAGTTTGGAAGAAGATTTCCTTCTCAACCAGGCAGATGAAGTCAAGTTGCAAATCAGATGTGCCCGTTGTCAGATCACTGCTCAGTCTTTTGCTGAAATTAAGTTCCATTTGCTTCATGTTCATGGGGAAGAGGTCCAGGGCCGGCTTCAGGAGGTGTTCTCACCAGGCAGCAGGGCGGGTGCTCCCCACCAGAAGCAGCACACTGAGAAAAGGAAGGAAGTGAAGCCTTGTGCCTCTGCAGAGGACTCCCCAGCATTTCCTAATGTGAAAAGACAGCCACCCCCTCCTCAGAGCAGGGAGGAGCTGTGGGCAGAAAGTGAAAGTGCCCAGTGGGGAATGAACAGCCCACAGCCCCCCACCAGGCTTCTCTGGTCCCATTCAGGCTTTAACTGCCTGCTCTGTGCCCAGATACTGGGGAGGAAGGAGGACCTGCTTCTCCACTGGGTACACCAGCACAACTGTGAGGAGCCTGCCAGACTCTGGGCTCTCCTGGGTGTATTCTCTCACCAGGGAGCTCCTGAGTTCCCCAGTGAAGTAAGGCAGTGACACTGAGACCACCCAGCTGAAGAGGTGTCACACTATGGCCTTTCCTATGTTCTGTTCCTGTTAGATTTAATTATAAGGATCCAGTACTCCAGGGCCAGCACAGTGTCCAGAGGTAATTTTTTGTGCATAGTTTTGTTTTCTTAAGAAAGGAAGGATGTGCCCTGGATGCATTTTCTAACATATATTGTCTCACCTTAAAACTCCATGCATTCTCTAATATCGTAGACTTTATCTCATAATAAAGAAAAGATTCAAGAATTGAAATGCAGAGAAGATTATTGTTTTTTTTTCGAATGCAAGTTTTTGAGTGTGAAAGAGTGTGTTTGAGTGTGTGTGTGTTTAAGTATATGTGTACATGTGTCCTCTTATTTTGATACTGCTTGATTATATTTTTCAACAGTTAATTCTCCAACTGTGGAACGTAGTCGCAACTATAGTATATAGTTACATGATAAATGTCCATATTTATTAGTCTCTGGTTTATTTGAATCCTTTTAATGTTTTCTCTACCTTAAAATCTGTGTTTTCAAGACACTTATTTTTGCTGTTAAGTATTCAATTCTTTGAAGAGTAACCAGCAAGTCTTCTAGTGTTCCATCTCAAAATAATAGAAAAAAATTGATACTTCAGCTAATAAAAAAAATCTACTTCTATGGTAGAAGGTTATTTTCAGGAAGTCTTTGTGGCCAGAAGATTTACAGCCTGGAAAGTGAACTATATGGTGCAGTCCAGATGCGGCGGAGCCTCCTGCTTTCTCTCCCTTCCAGGAACTCTGGAGGGCTGTTGATAGCTGGTCACTTTTAGAAGGCACTGCTCCTTTAAAGCCCAGTGTTGTAAGGAGGAGGTCGCTTGCTGGTTCCTGGCCGCTTAGCCCTGAAATAATCACACAGAGACTATATTAATTAAATCACTGCTTGGCCCATTAGCTCTAGATTTTTATTGGCTAACTCTTACATATTAATTTAACCCATTTCTAGTAATCTGTGTATCGCCATGCAGCAGTGGCTTAGCAGCTAAAGTTCCATCTGGCCCTGGCAGGGCTACATGGCTTCTTTCTAACTCCTTTCTCCCAGCATTCCATTTAGTTTTCCCCACCTAACTCTGATCCCCTGTAGCTCTGCTATAGGCCCAAAGCAGTTCCTTTATTCTTAATGGTAATCACAGCATCCAAAAGGGACTCCCACATCAGCCCGGAATCTCTTTGAAACTCAAGAGTAAGTGAGAGCCCCTTAAATTCCTGGGAAATTACCTTGAATCACAAAAGTTGCCATTTGAAGTTTCTAGCCATCCTATCTGCTGGTCATTTTGTGGGAAGTGGGCTCTGAGCATTCACTGCTTTAAACCCACTGCCTTCCCACAGGGCATGCTCCCTGCATGTTCCCAGTCCTATTTTGTTTGCCATGCATGGGCTTGAGGAAGTTACCAATAAGGAAGAAGGGAATTTTGGTGGATAAGCTCCTGAGTCTTACATCACATATTTTAAAGGTTCATAGGTATCTTGTGGCTGCAACAATGTGGGAAGGAGACTCTTTTGCTAACAGTTTTGCAAATCTGAGAAAGAGTGTTGGTTTGGATGCTCCAAAGCATCTTCCTATAGTCTGTCTATTGATCACCCTTGACTCGGCTTTAAAGAGATCACAGCAGCAAACAAGTGCTTGATGTTTGTAGACCCCTTCCATTAGTGATGAAATAGTCTGCCTGTTTCACTCAATGAATTGGCTCATTTTTAGGAAGATTTATTATAAAGATTATAAAACCTGTAATCTACCAAGAATACTATTTGAAATTAAACTTTGAAATGATTTCTAGACCATCCATCCAGTCCTTGGGTACAGAGCAGGGTTTCAGAAAATCTGGCAAAAGACAAAATGGCCATTCTGGTAGATGCGCACCTGGCAGGCAGAACAAAGTTTGGCGGCTCTTTGTGGGGACCCCCCACCATGACTCACATGAGAGATAGGCAGTCTCTGGACACATGTGGCAAGCTGGGGTGTTTTGATTCTAGATTGTGTTTCAGGACACTGATTCATGACAGAGAGGGACTGGTAGAAGAGAGGGGTCATTCTTTGGCCTGGTAGAGTGCAGGCTCCTGGGTTTGAGTCCCATTGCCTTTGAAGAGTGAGGACTTAAAGGGCATGTGGGTGCATCGTGCAGATTGTCCTGACACCATCCTTTAAATCAGTGCTGACAGAGAGCAGAAGAGGGCTCTTGTTGGGGGTGGAGGGAGTCACTGAGCTAATAGGCTTAGGAGAGCTGCCCCTTGGATCTGGGCACAGTTGCAGCCTGTCCTCCTACAGAACCTCTATGGGGTGGAATAAAGTACTTTGCCATTTATTCCCGTCACTGGAGAGAAGTCTCTTTCCAGGTCTCCAGCCTCAGCCTCTCTAAACTAGCAGTGACAATCCCACCTCAGGAAGTGGCTGGGAAGAGTTCCTGAAGCATGCAGCAGCAGGTGGGTGGTATTTATTATACTTTGGCTCGGGTGTGAAGGAGGTACATCACGGCATATAAAAATCACTGAAAACGGCCCAGATTGCCCTCTGATAGAGATCGCAAGGTCAGGAGCTACAGAGAACCAGAGGAACCCACATCTCTGTATAAACGTGCATTTATGGAGGCTGGCCTTCTAGATCTGCACCTTTCTTCTGCAATTGCCCCTCTGCCCTCCCTGGTAAAGCTATTGTCGTTGTCATTTGCACACACCGTCCAGAAGCCGCTTTAAGAACACTAGCTGCTTGAGGACAGACAACCTTGGGTCAGCCTGGACCCCCACAAGCACCCCTGCTATCTGGGGACTAGCACACAGATCATTACTAGGGTGACAAAAAAAAGTCTCCATCAGCTAAATACAAAATTGCTGATTTGCTTTTTTGTCTTTTCCTTTTTTTTTTTTTTTTTTTTTTTTTTTTTTTTTTTTTTTTTTTTTTTTTTTTTTTTTTGTCTTTTTGAATAAAGCCCCAAGTTCATAGCTAGGATGGCATTGAGGCAGACTGGGTCTTCAACTCAGCACTTTTCATTTTGCTTTAATGTCTTTGCTTCTCAGAAAATTGTCCCAAAGCCAGATTCTCCCCCCCCCCATTTGGCCTTAAATTATTTCTGAAAGTTACAGCATTTTTGATTTGTGCTGTTTTATTGCTTGTCATTTTTATTCATGTCCCTTTCATTGCACTCTCTGGCTCTCTGGATCTTATCCTGGTTTCCCCACCCTCCTCTCCTGAACTGTTCCTCATATGGAAGGTTGTCTCTTCATCTGCACACCGTAAATAATTGAGCCTGGGCACGTTCCATGGCCTTCTCTGGCTGCAGGCTCCTCTTCTCCCAGCTGCGCGGCTCCAGTTTTCTGTGAGCCAGTGACATGATTGTTGGCAGTAAATGTTGTGCTTCGTTTATTTATTAGGGTTCTCCTATCTGGACAGGCCTGCCCCGCTCAAGCTGTTGACATGCTTCGTTAGCTGCATGTTTTATAGAGTCCTCTTTCTCTGCTGAGTTCCTGAGAATAAGCCCTGGTCAGGAGTCACCGGGTTGAGCAGTATAGGGTTTCAGCTTCAAGTCACGCAGGACCATCAGCAGCTGGTCTTGGCTTCCATGCTACATGAACTATCTCCTTATCTCCAGGAGCTTTGCTTTAGGGGAGAAGTCTGTTGTGTCTCATGCATGTCCTTGGTTGTGGCGACTTCATTATGACCACAAGACCTCTTTCTCAGGTTTATTGTGAAGTGAGATTCAGGACGCAGACTCTGTTTTGGGAGCACATCACAGTGGCCACACTCTGACTTGTGGAGATGCCTCAGTGTGTTGTTTAACCTTAGGAAACTCTGGGGAAAACCAAAGGTGACAGCTAAAAGTGATGTCAGACCCTTGTTCTAGACTTCATGTGAAGTTAAGCAGGTTCCATCCTCAAAATGCCCCATTGCTTAGCTGCCAGGAATTCACTTATAATAAGGATGATAATAAGTGTACTTTTCAGTATACTCCAAATACCAATTGCAAGTTATTAGCATTATAATAGATCACATTTTTGAGATACCAAATACCTATTCAGTATTAAAAAAAAAAAAAGTTGAATACCTTTTTCATTAACCATGAATTGACTCCATACCTAAGAGTTGGCAGAACAACTAGATGGCCTGCAAGCCGCAACGGAGGCAGGGCAGTGAGGGCAGCCACTCCAAGTGTCAATGTCAGTTTTGCACAGAGATGACCCAAACAGAGGTGCTCCCAACCACCCTGAGGCCCTGCTCGTAGGGTAACATGTAATGATGCAGGTCCACTCCCACCCACGTGTCCTCAGTGAAGCGCGTTCATTTCATTTTCATGACATTCATGGAGCCAAGCTTTTGACAAGTGACTATATACTCAAGAAGTTATTCTGTATTACCCATGAAATCTATCTTTTATACATGTTTGTCTTTTAGTCACAAAGCTATGGATGAAGCTGAGGCCCCAACACATGCAAGACAAATGTTCTACCCCTGATACACAAATAGTCCAGTCCAAACAGTGTTTGAAGAAAGACAGGGCAACAGTGTGATGTCATGATGTGGCCAAGGAATTTGTTGACAGTATTGGGTCCAGTCTGGCACTAGGAGGGCAGAGTAAACCCAGCCCCAGTGTCCAGACAACAAAATGGCATGAATATTTGATCTACCATCAATAGAAAGAAATTGTATAGCATCAAAATTCAAAGGACACTCAAAGATCCCACTTCAAAGAGTCAGTACATAAGGACACAAATAGGTAAATAATATGTTCCTGAATTTCTGTTTGAAGTGAAAGATTGGGTATAAATCATCAGAATGGGCCAAAAATATTACAGTATTCCAAAGAATAGGATTCTCTAGAGGAACAGAACTTATAGAATGAATATATACATATATTCATTATACACACATACATACACACACATATATGTGTGTGTGTATATATATATATATATATGGAGAGGGAGGGGTATTGATTAGAATAGTTAGTTTATGGCAGTGTTTCTCAACCTGAACCTTTTCATAGGGGTTGCATATCAAATATCCTGCATACCAAATATTTATATTATAAGTCATAATGGTAGCAAAATTATAGTTATGAAGTAGTAATGATATGATTTTATGGTTGGGGGGGTCACCACAGCATGAAGAGCTATATTAAAGGGTTACAGCATCAGGGAGGTTAAGAACACTGGCTTATAAGCTATAGTCCAGCTAGTCCAACCGAAGGTCCAAAACTCCAGTAGTTGTTCGGTCCTTTTATGCCCAGATCATGGA